TCATGCATCCTGGTTGTAATTGGTTCATGCATCCTGGTTGTAGTTGGTTCATGCATTCTGGTTGTAATTGGTTCATGCATTTTGGTTGTAATTGGTTCATGCATTCTGGTTGTAATTGGTTCATGCATCCTGGTTGTAATTGGTTCATGCATCCTGGTTGTAATTGGTTTATGCATCCTGGTTGTAACTGGTTCATGCATCCTGGTTGTAATTGGTTCATGCATCCTGGTTGTAATTGGTTCATGCATCCTGGTTGTAATTGTTTCATGCATCCTGGTTGTAATTGGTTCATGCATCCTGGTTGTAATTGGTTCACGCATCCTGGTTGTAATTGGTTCATGCATCTTGGTTGTAATTGGTTCATGCATCCTGGTTGTAATTGTTTCACGCATCCTGGTTGTAATTGTTTCATGCATCCTGGTTGTAATTGGTTCATGCATCCTGGTTGAAATTGTTTCATGCATCCTGGTTGTAATTGGTCCATGCATTCTGGTTGTAATTGTTTCATGCATCCTGGTTGTAATTGGTTCATGCATCCTGGTTGTAATTGGTTTATGCATCCTGGTTGTAATTGTTTCACGCATCCTGGTTGTAATTGGTTCATGCATCCTGGTTGTAATTGTTTCACGCATCCTGGTTGTAATTGGTTCATGCATCCTGGTTGTAATTGTTTCATGCATCCTGGTTGTAATTGTTTCATGCATCCTGGTTGTAATTGTTTCATGCATCCTGGTTGTAATTGGTTCATGCATTCTGGTTGTAATTGGTTCATGCATGCTGGTTGTAGTTGGTTCATGCATACTGGTTGTAATTGGTTCATGCATCCTGGTTGTAATTGTTTCATGCATCCTGGTTGTAATTGGTTCGTGCATTCTGGTTGTAATTGTTTCATGCATCCTGGTTGTAATTGTTTCACGCATCCTGGTTGTAATTGGTTCACGCATCCTGGTTGTAATTGGTTCATGCATTGTGGTTGTAATTGTTTCATGCATTCTGCTTGTAATTGGTTCATGCATTCTGGTTGTAATTGTTTCATGCATTCTGGTTGTAATTGGTTCATGCATTCTGGTTGTAATTGGTTCATGCATCCTGGTTGTAATTGGTTCATGCATCCTGGTTGTAATTGGTTCATGCATCCTGGTTGTAATTGGTTCATGCATCCTGGTTGTAATTGGTTCATGCATCCTGGTTGTAATTGGTTCATGCATCCTGGTTGTAATTGGTTCATGCATTCTGGTTGTAATTGGTTCATGCATTCTGGTTGTAATTGGTTCATGCATTCTGGTTGTAATTGGTTCATGCATCCTGGTTGTAATTGGTTAATGCATCCTGGTTGTAATTGGTTAATGCATCCTGGTTGTAATTGGTTCATGCATCCTGGTTGTAATTGGTTCATGCATCCTGGTTGTAGTTGGTTCATGCATTCTGGTTGTAATTGGTTCATGCATTTTGGTTGTAATTGGTTCATGCATTCTGGTTGTAATTGGTTCATGCATCCTGGTTGTAATTGGTTCATGCATCCTGGTTGTAATTGGTTTATGCATCCTGGTTGTAACTGGTTCATGCATCCTGGTTGTAATTGGTTCATGCATCCTGGTTGTAATTGGTTCATGCATCCTGGTTGTAATTGTTTCATGCATCCTGGTTGTAATTGGTTCATGCATCCTGGTTGTAATTGGTTCACGCATCCTGGTTGTAATTGGTTCATGCATCTTGGTTGTAATTGGTTCATGCATCCTGGTTGTAATTGTTTCACGCATCCTGGTTGTAATTGTTTCATGCATCCTGGTTGTAATTGGTTCATGCATCCTGGTTGAAATTGTTTCATGCATCCTGGTTGTAATTGGTCCATGCATTCTGGTTGTAATTGTTTCATGCATCCTGGTTGTAATTGGTTCATGCATCCTGGTTGTAATTGGTTTATGCATCCTGGTTGTAATTGTTTCACGCATCCTGGTTGTAATTGGTTCATGCATCCTGGTTGTAATTGTTTCACGCATCCTGGTTGTAATTGGTTCATGCATCCTGGTTGTAATTGGTTCATGCATCCTGGTTGTAATGGGTTCATGCATCCTGGTTGTAATTGGTTCATGCTTCCTGGTTGTAATTGGTTCATGCATCCTGGTTGTAATTGGTTCATGCATCCTGATTGTAATTGGTTCATGCATCCTGGTTGTAATTGGTTCATGCATCCTGGTTGTAATTGGTTCATGCATCCTGGTTGTAATAGTTTCATGCATCCTGGTTGTAATTGGTTCATGCATCCTGGTTGTAATTGGTTCATGCATCCTGGTTGTAATTGGTTCATGCATCCTGGTTGTAATTGGTTCATGCATCCTGGTTGTAATTGGTTCATGCATCCTGGTTGTAATTGGTTCATGCATCCTGGTTGTAATTGGTTCATGCATCCTGGTTGTAATTGGTTCATGCATCCTGGTTGTAATTGGTTCATGCATCCTGGTTGTAATTGTTTCATGCATCCTGGTTGTAATTGTTTCATGCATCCTGGTTGTAATTGTTTCATGCATTCTGGTTGTAATTGGTTCATGCATCCTGGTTGTAATTGGTTCATGCATCCTGGTTGTAATTGGTTCATGCATCCTGGTTGTAATTGTTTCATGCATCCTGGTTGTAATTGGTTCGTGCATTGTGGTTGTAATTGTTTCATGCATCCTGGTTGTAATTGTTTCACGCATCCTGGTTGTAATTGGTTCACGCATCCTGGTTGTAATTGGTTCATGCATTGTGGTTGTAATTGTTTCATGCATTCTGCTTGTAATTGGTTCATGCATTCTGGTTGTAATTGTTTCATGCATTCTGGTTGTAATTGGTTCATGCATTCTGGTTGTAATTGGTTCATGCATCCTGGTTGTAATTGGTTCATGCATCCTGGTTGTAATTGGTTCATGCATCCTGGTTGTAATTGGTTCATGCATCCTGGTTGTAATTGGTTCATGCATTCTGGTTGTAATTGGTTCATGCATTCTGGTTGTAATTGGTTCATGCATTCTGGTTGTAATTGGTTCATGCATCCTGGTTGTAATTGGTTAATGCATCCTGGTTGTAATTGGTTAGTGCATCCTGGTTGTAATTGGTTCATGCATCCTGGTTGTAATTGGTTCATGCATCCTGGTTGTTGTTGGTTCATGCATTCTGGTTGTAATTGGTTCATGCATTTTGGTTGTAATTGGTTCATGCATTCTGGTTGTAATTGGTTCATGCATCCTGGTTGTAATTGGTTCATGCATCCTGGTTGTAATTGGTTTATGCATCCTGGTTGTAACTGGTTCATGCATCCTGGTTGTAATTGGTTCATGCATCCTGGTTGTAATTGGTTCATGCATCCTGGTTGTAATTGGTTCATGCATCCTGGTTGTAATTGGTTCATGCATCCTGGTTGTAATTGGTTCATGCATCCTGGTTGTAATTGGTTCATGCATCCTGGTTGTAATTGTTTCATGCATCCTGGTTGTAATTGTTTCATGCATCCTGGTTGTAATTGTTTCATGCATTCTGGTTGTAATTGGTTCATGCATCCTGGTTGTAATTGGTTCATGCATCCTGGTTGTAATTGGTTCATGCATCCTGGTTGTAATTGTTTCATGCATCCTGGTTGTAATTGGTTCGTGCATTGTGGTTGTAATTGTTTCATGCATCCTGGTTGTAATTGTTTCACGCATCCTGGTTGTAATTGGTTCACGCATCCTGGTTGTAATTGGTTCATGCATTGTGGTTGTAATTGTTTCATGCATTCTGCTTGTAATTGGTTCATGCATTCTGGTTGTAATTGTTTCATGCATTCTGGTTGTAATTGGTTCATGCATTCTGGTTGTAATTGGTTCATGCATCCTGGTTGTAATTGGTTCATGCATCCTGGTTGTAATTGGTTCATGCATCCTGGTTGTAATTGGTTCATGCATCCTGGTTGTAATTGGTTCATGCATTCTGGTTGTAATTGGTTCATGCATTCTGGTTGTAATTGGTTCATGCATTCTGGTTGTAATTGGTTCATGCATCCTGGTTGTAATTGGTTAATGCATCCTGGTTGTAATTGGTTAGTGCATCCTGGTTGTAATTGGTTCATGCATCCTGGTTGTAATTGGTTCATGCATCCTGGTTGTTGTTGGTTCATGCATTCTGGTTGTAATTGGTTCATGCATTTTGGTTGTAATTGGTTCATGCATTCTGGTTGTAATTGGTTCATGCATCCTGGTTGTAATTGGTTCATGCATCCTGGTTGTAATTGGTTTATGCATCCTGGTTGTAACTGGTTCATGCATCCTGGTTGTAATTGGTTCATGCATCCTGGTTGTAATTGGTTCATGCATCCTGGTTGTAATTGTTTCATGCATCCTGGTTGTAATTGGTTCATGCATCCTGGTTGTAATTGGTTCACGCATCCTGGTTGTAATTGGTTCATGCATCTTGGTTGTAGTTGGTTCATGCATCCTGGTTGTAATTGTTTCACGCATCCTGGTTGTAATTGTTTCATGCATCCTGGTTGTGATTGGTTCATGCATCCTGGTTGAAATTGTTTCATGCATCCTGGTTGTAATTGGTCCATGCATTCTGGTTGTAATTGTTTCATGCATCCTGGTTGTAATTGGTTCATGCATCCTGGTTGTAATTGGTTTATGCATCCTGGTTGTAATTGTTTCACGCATCCTGGTTGTAATTGGTTCATGCATCCTGGTTGTAATTGTTTCACGCATCCTGGTTGTTATTGGTTCATGCATTCTGGTTGTAATTGTTTCATGCATCCTGGTTGTAATTGGTTCACGCATCCTGGTTGTAATTGGTCAACCCAACCCTTTCTCTCCAGACTCCTCTGTCCGAGCTCAGTGTTCTCGCTGCTTGTTCTCTTGCCTCCTTCTCTCCACCCCTTTCTCTCTCTCCCTTCACCCTTCACCCTCCACACCTCCCCTCCCTGTGGGTGTCCCTCCCCCTTGGCATGGCATGGCATGGCATGGCATGGCGTGGCATGGCATGGCAGGTACGGCATGAGGCTAACGAACGTGTCGTTGCCAGCGGTGCTGCTGAGGGAGGACGACTGGAGGCACCTCGTGCAGCGCGCCCACACTGCCAGGCCGGGCGCCGTCACACTCAGAGGCGCTGAGTCCCGCCTCGAGGAGGCTCTTGCGCTCGCAGTGAGGAAAGCTATAGCGAGGATGGAGGAGGACAGGCGAGCTGCAGGGGGCGAGCGGGGGGATGAGGGAGGGGGCAGAGGGGGGCGAGGGGGGGTGCAGCAGCAGGTGTCAGTAAGGGCGGTGCAGGAGTATGCGAGGCGGCTGGCGCCGCTGGTGGGGGTGGGTCGCGGATTCACGTGCAGCGTGGGGTGGGTGCAGCAGTTCATGCAGCGCTGGGGGTTCCACCCTCCTGGGGGCACTGCAGGAGGCGGTGGTGGGGCGAGGGGGCAAGGGGGCCGGCTGGGTGGGAGGAGAGGGGAGGATGGTCGGACAGAGGATGAACTTGAAGAAGGGGGAGGGGAGGAGGGGGAGGAGAGTGAGGGGCAGGGAGGAGTGAGTGCGAGGATAAGGGGGATACTGGACGAGCGGTGTGAAGTGCGGCAGGAGGAGGTGGCAGCGCTGGTGGCGGTGGCAGAGGAGCAGCGGGAGAGGCGCGCTCAGATCAAGGCGAGTGGGCGCCGGCTGACGGACGTGCGCGAGGAGGAGTGGATAGAGGAGTGGCGGCACGATGGTGCTGGTGGGCGGGGCAGGGCGGCAGGGGATGGGATGGAGAGTGATGGGGGGGATGGGGGCGTGACTGGAGACAGCGATGGCGCCTTGGACGTGACGGACAATGATGGTGCTGGTGGTTTTGACACAGACACTGACCTTGACCTGCCCGCCGCTCATGCCCATACCAACCCCCGTGCTGCTGCCACTGCTAATGCGTTTACTCCTTGTGCCCCTCCTGCCATCACTGCACAACGTGCTGTACATGTTGCTGCTGCTAATGCTGCTGCCACTGCCACTGCCACTGCTGCTACTGCTGCTGCTGCCCCGACACATGCCCCCATCACCCCGCCACCTCAAGTGAGCACCCTGCTGGCGTCACTGGCCGGCGTGCGGGTGGCATCTGCCGCCCAGGCCGCCCCTCAGCTGCAGTGTGCGTGGGCTGCCCTTGCGGCAGCTACGCCGTTCCCCCGGCAGCTCACAGCGCACCGCGCGGCAGAGGTGGCGCGCGCATGGCGCCGCCTTGAGAGGTCCCGCGTGCTGCTGTGGGAGGGGGGTGCTGGGAGCGAGGGGGGTGCTGGGAGCGAGAGCAGTGAGAGCATGAGCGTAGAGGAAATTGGAGGGATGGGCAGCAGCATGGAGGAGTGGGAGTCGAAGGAGGGGATAGTTGGCGCGGTGGCAGGGAGGAGCGCAGGAGGGGGCATGCCTGGTGGCCGAGGGAGGAAGAGGAGGAGGAGCGGGGATGAGCAGGACGGTGTGGTGGCATCACGGGCCGGGGCAGCAGCAGCAGGGAGTGGAGCAGCAGGTGGAGGGCGGTTGGCAGGAGGCGGGCAGGGGTCAGCGGGCATGGCAGCACCGCTGCTGGCCCCGGAGCTCATAGTGGCGGCGGCCCTGCGAGCTGCTCTTGCTCCCCACCCCGTGCCCGCCCACCCCATGCCCGCCCCGCCTGCTGCCCACGCCCTGCGCTTCCCGTTCCCCCACGCTGCGCCACCCGCCACCACCGCACTGCACTCCCTTGCACAGCTGCTTGCATCTGCTGGCTTGCCGTCGGGCCTACTCCCTGTCGCCAGGCCATACGGCCCTGCCTGGGGCCAGCACCTACTCACTGCGCCTCGCCCTTCCTCCCACGTTGCTCCCTCTCTGCCAACGCCACCTCCCCCCCGGTCGCTCACTGCGCTCCTCACTTCAATCACGTCCAACCAACCACCTCCCTTCACCACACCTGCGCCTGCTCCCGCCAATGCCTCTATGGCAGCACGAGCAGCTGCTACTGAACCTGTGCCACCTGCTGCTGCCACCGCAACACCTTCTCCTGCTGCTGCTCCCGTTGCTCCTTCTTCTGCTGTTCTTGCTCTCAACGTTTCCACTCCCGCTGCCGCTCCTGCGTCCGCTCCTCCTATTCTTTCTGCTAATTCTTCAGCCCCCAGTACTGCCAGCAGTGCTGCAACTAATCCAGCTTTTGCCACACCTGAGTCTACTGTTGCTGCAATTGATTCCGCTACTTCTGCTGCTCCACTGACCAAAGTTGCTACTGCCACTGCACCTGCTGCTACTGCCACTGTACCTGCTGCTACTGCCACTGTACCTGCTGCTACTGCCACTGCACCTGCTGCCGCTGCAGCAGCGGCAACTGCAACCGATGTCCCGGAGGTCAGTCCTACACCAGCTCTTTCACCTCAAGCTGCCTCTGCGCCTCTTGCTGCTGCCCTCACTGTAACTGATGCTGCTACGGGCAACCATAGATCACCACTTTCAGCTGTACCTGCAGCTACTGCCATTGCACCTGCTGCTGTGGCCACTGCGCTTGCTGCTAGTGTGGCTGCTCCAACAACTGATTCTGCTGTTGGTTCTGACACTCCCTCACAGAAGTCATGAATAGAGTCCAGTCCACTAACCAACTACGCGTACGACTCCAACTTTTCGGAAGACCAAGCTCGTGTCAAAATTATGTATTTGTTAGTTGTAGGCTACACTGAGGTGCTCACTAAGGAATACAGCACTTGTAGGGTTTGGTACTTGTATCACCCTTTTGTTAGTTCATTACAATCCGCTATGCTACTTAATTTCGACATGGTATCATTGTAGGCCGTTCCTAGGATCCTAGCCCGCCTACCTCCTTAAGACCGTTAGCTCCGTTAGCTTCGCGCCCTCTCCGGCCAGAACGCAAGACACAGCGCACACCAGCCAGCCTACCAACCACTACCTACCAGCCAGCCAATTGCCAGTCAGCCAGCCAGTCGCCAGCCAGCCAGAACACCACCAGTTGCCAGCCAGTGAGCGCCCGCAGCCGACAGCGCGCGCCGCCAGCCAGCGAGCGCCCCGCCAGCCTTATGCACGCGCGTTGGCAGCTGGTGCATTCGCCGCAGCCTGCGCGCCCTGCCAGCGCGCAAAAGCAGCAGCGTGTATGCACAGCCAGCGCGCAGCAGCAGCAGCCCGCGCGCGCATTCACAAGCGCGTGCTCTGCCAGCGCACGGCACTAACAGCGCATGCACCCCACCAGCCCACGGCAGCAGTAGCCCGCGCGCGCGCGCCTCACCAGGAGGACACACGTGCAGCATTCACACGCCCCGCTAGCCAGGGCGCACCCCGCTAGCAGGAGACATGTGCAGCCCTCGCACGCCCCGCTAACCAGCACGCGCCCTGCTAGTACGCCTCCTGCCCACTAATAGCGCGCACCGCTAGCCACCAAGTCTAGGGTTTAGGGTATATTACTTGGTGGCTGCCAGCTGCTGTTGGGAGTGTCATTGGCGAAGTAGAAGGTGTGAGACGGTAGGCACAGCTGGCTTTCGCCATGGCGTCCGCTAAAGTTCTGCAGCAGCAGCAGCAGCAGCAGCAGCAGGGGCAGCCATAGCAGCAGCAGAAGCATTTCCAGCAATGGGACCTCAGCAGCTTTGGCGCCCTTAGCAGCAGTGGGGGCCTGGTGGTCCGGGGAGCATCGGACGCACCAACGGCCCAAACAGCTACGGGGCTCGTCACAGTGGCCGAAACGTCAGGCCAGGCCAGTATCAGATTCTGGCTGGCCCTGGTGCTGGCACTACTAGCAGGCATCCTGACCACTCGGCATTGCGCTGATTCAGTCGCCTCGATGACCTCTATCATGAGCGCTTCGGGTCTGACTAGGTTCCCCTGTACTTGCATGCTCTGCTTTGCCATGGTTACCAAGTGTTTGGTATGTCCTTCGATGATGCTCGTTCTGTTGTATATATTGTAGGACAAGCACGGGTGCTGGGCCGTGCGGAGAGAGGTTCTTCCTTGTTGTGGATGACTTATCTCGCTACACCATGGTGTTTCCCCTGAAGTAGAAAGCTCACGTGCCTGCTGCTCTGATTCCGTGGTTGCTGGCCACTAGCGCCAAGTACGCCCTCCCTGTGCTTAGTCTCCACTCCAGCCGTGAGGTTGATTTCCGCTCTCGTGTTCATGCCAAGTTCTGTCGCGAGCAGCGCATCACGAAGTTCTTCACGCTTCCAGACTCACCGCGGCAAAATGGGGTTGCTGAGCAACATATGCTTGGTCATGAAAAGCGCCCGTACATCCACCCTATTTCTATCGCCCTTTGCTTCACTACGCCGCGCACCAGGTGAACCTCTGGCCACATGTTTCACGCCCAGAGGTTTCACCGACCTTTCTCTGGACTGTGTCACCTGGTGTCGCATCTGCGTCTCATGTCTGAGTGTGAGTTGCACACCTGCATTGACCTTGGTGAGTTGCACAACTATTTTGGCTTGCATATCACCAGGGACAGAGCATCACGCACCATCACTCGGACTCAGTCGCACATGGTGCAGCATGTCTTTCAGCGATTCAGCTTCCAGTTCTCCTCCACGCAGCCCACTCCCCTTGCTATTGACCACAGGCTCACTGCTCTTGTTCCCAACGAGCCGGTTGAGCCTAGTGGTCGATACGTAGAGCTTGTGGGTTGCTTCATGCACCTGATAACGAGTACTCGACCGGACCTCGCCTTTCCTGTGTTGACGAGAAAAGGCCCCGCCCTCGCATGGGCGAAGACGACTTCATAGCTGGCTAGGCTTCGTGGTCGACACTGACCTAGAGGAACAAGTCGGCTTAGTTGGTCGACCTCGGCGGAGCCGACTTTGGTGAAGCCGGCCACTGCAAAGCTGACTTCAACAAACGGCGAAGCCGACTTCTGCAAAGCCGACTTCAGCGAAGCCAGTGAGACATAGGCCGCCGAGCTGCAAGTTGGCGGACGACGTCGACTTGGAGGAGCAAGTCGGTGGGCTTGGTTGGGCGTCTTCAGTGCAGCATGATGACGCCGACGAAGTTGGCGAACGACGTCGAGCCTCGGAGGTCGACATAGATGTTTGTTGACATGACGCCGACCTGTGAACGTTGACCGGCTGTCAAGTCGATGCCAACGTAGTGGCCTCTTCGGGTTGACCAAGTAACTAGTCGGCGAGGTTCTGCGGAGGTGCGCGAACTTCGCCCCATGAGGTATTGGCGAAGTTGATCTGTGGGTCGAGCATCACATGCTCAACGACCTAGCACCTGCACAAGGCGTGTGATGGCGCATAGCGTACATGGAACCGTCTTTAGGAACCGGATGCAGCTGTTACAATACTAACGTAGCTTAGGAACCGGGTTTAGGGCCTAAGCTTAGTAGCCTAGGCCAAGCGGGTATCGAAAGTCTTGTGGCAAGGAGGAATGTCGAGAATGTGTGTTATTCACTATAGCACACAAGGTACATATAGCAAACTAGCAAAGGTGCACCACCAACAGCAAGGAAACATAACTACACTAAAGCTAAAGCTAGAGGCAGTTATAAACATATATAAAATATATATCGCGACACACCCCCTTAACTACCTGCAGCACATAGCTACAGCAAGTCAAACCCCCTGAAGGGGTATAGTAGGTGCAGTGGAAGAAGGCAGAGAGGTAAATGAGGAAGAGGCGAGAGAGAGAGAGAGGAGAGGAGATGAGATGAGAACAAAGGATGAGGTGAGTGAGGGATGAGCAGAGGAGGTGGGGGGGTGGCCGCGGCGTTCCCTCTTACTAACCCCCTTTTACGAAGGGGGGGTTGAGTGGGGGATGAGGAGAGGAGGTGGGAGGGTGGCCGCAGCGTCCCCTCTTACTAACCGCCACATCCCCACCCCCAATCAACCAACCCCGTTGAACCTCACCCCCCATTTCAACCGCCCCTTGGAACCGCATTCTCTCCCCCCCTTTCTTCCTTCAAACCCCTCTCCACCCACGATGATGCCTGGACAGTCCTTCACAGGTGGGGCTGTTGGTCACAGGTGGGGCTGCTGGTCACGGGTGGGGCTGCTGGTCACAGGTGGGGCTGCTGGTCACAGGTGGGGCTGCTGGTCAAAAGTGGGGCTGCTGGTCCTGGTGCCTGGTGCTGACGTGACGGCGCTGGTGCCGGTGCCGGTGCTGGTGCTGGTGAGTAGCTTCGGTGCTGGTGCTGGTGCTGGCAGCTGGTGCTGGTGCCTGGGGCTGGCGGCTGGCGCTGGTGCTGGTGCCTGGTGCTGGCGTGACGGCGCTGGTGCCGGTGCTGGTGCTGGTGCTGGGGGCTGGTGCCTGGTGCTAGCGGCTGGCGCTGGTGCTGGTGCCTGGTGCTGGCATGACGGCGCTGATGCTGGTGCCTGGTGCTGGTGGCTGGCTTCGGTGCTGGTGCTGGTGCTGGCGGCTGGTGCCTGGTGCTGGCGGCTGGTGCTGTTGCCTGGTGCTGGCGTGACGGCGCTGGAGCTGGTGCTGGTGCTGGCGACTGGCTTCGGTGCTGGCGGCTGGTGCTGGTGCTTGGTGCCTGGTGCTGGCGGCTGGCGCTGGTGCTGGTGCCTGTTGCTGGCGGCTGGCGGTTGGTGCTGGTGCCTGGTGCTGACGTGACGGCGCTGGTGCTGGTGCTGATGGGGCGCGACGGGTGGGACGAGCTGCAGACGGGCTACAAGCTGGGCGGGATCTGATGGTAGGAGGCGCGTAAGCACTGGTGCGATCGCCGGTGCGCTGGCGGTGATTGCTGGTGTTCCGCCACCACTCCCTTCCCCCTTTTTCTCTCTCCCCCACAGCATTCTGCCGTCACTCCTTCCCCCTTTCCCTCTCCTCCCCACAGCGTTCCGCCGCCAATCCCTTCCCCTCCTCCCTCTCCCACCCACAGCGACCGCCGCTGCACACGCGAACAGTCGCGACGGGGGGGGGGGGGGTGACGGGCAGGGGGCCGGGGGAATGCGACGGGAGGGAAGAAAACGGGACGGGGGGGGGAGGGCCGCGACGACCGCCACGGACGCCGTCCCCTTCATTCCCGATGCCGCCCCCCCACCCCTTCCCCACTCTCGCGCAAACTTGGCAGCAGGCGTAGGCGCGGGCAGAGGTGGTGACGGGGGGGAAACGCGACGGGCTGACAACGAGGGAAACGCGACGGGCTGGCGACGGGGGAAACGCGACGGGCTGGCGACGGGGGAAAACGCGACGGGCTGGCGACGGGCAGGCGACGAGGTAAAAAGAAAAAAATGACGGGCTGGCGACGAGGGAAACGCGGCCGGCTCGCCGCCGCGCCCGTCGCAGCGAGCGCCGTGCCGCGAATGGGTGGGCCAATTAACTTAGGTCAGGATTTTAATAGCTCAATACCATGTTACAAGACTAACATAGCTTAGGAACCGGGTTTAGGGCCTAGGCTTAGTAGCCTAGGCCAAGCGGGTATCGAAAGTTTTGTGGCAAGGAGGAATGTCGAGAATGTGTGTTGTTCACTATAGTACACAAGGCACATATAGCAAACTAGCAAAGGTGCACCACCAACAGCAAGGAAACATAACTACACTAAAGCTAAAGCTACAGGCAGTTATAAACATATATATAATATATATCGCGACAGCAGCTGCAGCGGCGTCCGCGCGAGACCCTTACGCCCCAGCAGCTTCGTGAGTGGTACGCTCAGAGTGGGGGGACTTGGAGTACTGTCCGCTGCCTGTATGTCCTTCGCACAGGTGATCGGGCTGGTCAGACTTGCAAAGCAGTTGGTCACACACAGGCTCGCTGCTTCGCCTGTCTGAGCGACGCCTGGCGTGCAGTGTTTGGCGACGAGGCTGAGCTCCCCCGCTGGCTAGAGCTGCTTAGGAACAAGGTGGATATCTTTGCTTTAGATTATGACACTATCCTTTCTGCCATGTATGCTTTGACTCTTAGTACTCAGGGTGACGGTTACTTGTGTGTGCCGCCCGACCCTGGTATAGCGGCTGCTGCTTTAGGAGCTGGTGAGTCCGCTCTCTCTGGTACTGTGCCTGCTGAGGCCTTGCACACCTTCACGCTTGACTCAGGTGTTTCCCGCTGCTTCTTTCGCGACAGCACCATAGTCACACCACTCGCAGTACTGGTTGCAGTCTCTCTGGCTGACCCCTCTAGGGGACCGGTTCGTGCACGTTCCTCCACTGTTCTCCCGTATCCGGCGGATCCGTCTGGCTCACTGTTAGGTCTTCACCTCCCCTTGTTCTCTACAAACTTGGTGAGTAACGCGTCCTTCAGGATGCTTGGGTTGTTACCGTTATCCCTGGAGGACAGCGTGTGGCGATCTGCACGTGTGCACGGATGGGCCGTCACCTGGCCACGTTCACCCGTCGGCCTAGGTTGAGCCTGTACACACTG